CCCTTCCTACTGCATGACTCAGCTTCTAACCGGCCATGGGAATCTTCCTAGTTACCTACACCGCATCAAGAAAAGAGACAATGATTACTGCAGCTGTGACAGCACGACAATAGGTGACATCAGCCATACACTCTTGGACTGTCCACTATATGATGCACCTAGGGGCAAACTAATCACTCAGTGCACGGAGAACGGGAAGACTTGGCCCCCCACCATGGGAGGACTTTCTCAGCACCAAAAGGAACTATTCACTGCTTGAAAAATTTATCACCAAGTGCAGGATCTTTGATCATTCCAGCGACCAAGCCTGTATGGAGGCTCGCAGTAACCGGCCACCACTCCTCTACGCAGGGCGACCCTACTGTTGTACTAGGTTGTCCTCTCAGCCTGCAATGTGTAAATAGGCGCATCGGACTTTAACTTATGAAGTACTACCCTACTGTAACGCGATGTCGTCCTCTCCATCTACAAAACCTTATCTATGTACTTAGGATTATATATAATACTTTATCTATGTACCTTGGATTATACAAAACCTGTGTTATTTACCTCTAGCAAGGGTATGTTACCTTCTATCTGCGGTATTGTGATTATGTATCCCAATTGTATCCTCTGTATCGTCATGTCTCATCAGACCAAATTGTTCCCTGTAAATATCAATGTTTTGTCTAAAATAATTGCGATGTAACACGCCAATGAGATCCCACCCTTCACACTCCCCTTCTATGCTTTCACTTTCCTTTCAAACCACAACTTCCTCTCCTCCATACCCCCTCTTCAACTTCCAACTTCCAAGGGCTAAGTCATAAGACAGCCTTTTCTCTTTTGGACTCAAGTACTCAAGTATTTGTTGAGTAATCCAGTATCAATTAACACAAATATTGTCATCTCTGGTAGATATCTATTTTTCTTTTCTGCTACTCCATTTTGTTTTCTAGAGAATAACATGCTGTAGTTTCATATGGAATACCTTAATTTTGAAAGAATATTTTACAGTTGATACTTCAAAGAAACATTTTTATGAATAAATGGGAAACTGAATGAAAATAAATAATATTGCATACTTATAATATAAAAATATATCCTGTATTTTTACCTTCAGTTCCAAATTCCAATTCAGCTACTGCATCAAAACATTTCCTGAGATAAATCTGAACAGCTAGTGGGTTTCTTGTTTCAGATAATATATCTAAAAGTTCATCATTGGATAGAAAATAAAATCTTGGAAACACGACACGCTTTGACTCCAAATAAGCTTCCAAACAAGCATTTATTTGATCCAACTGTGCTTTATTGCTTTGAAACTCTTCTATCATACCTATTTAATTAAAATAAATACTTGAAATAGTTTTTAAAAATTTTATTTATTTATGAACAAATATCAATTATAAATTTATAAAATTAAAAAAAAAATAACATAATAAGCTAATAATACATTTTTTAAAATTTAAATTTATATAAGATAAGGCTAAAAGAGAAAGAATATAAGGTAATACTGCCAGAACATTGGGCAATTATAGTTTATGAAAAATTTACATAAACACATTTAAAAGTTGTATTTAATTTAATTTATTAATTTCAAATATTTTCATTTCAGTAGTCAAACTTCTTTGGATTTTTAAAATTGCAGAACTTTTTCCTTCTAATTGAACAGAGAATGTATATAAAACAGCTAAAATTGTCAATTACACATTTTCTATACAATTTGTTCTAGTCAATCACAAGAAAATTATTCTGTAACTTCAAAAATGTGAAGTATGATTATTCAAATAAAACTCTAGTAAAAATATCAACTGACATCATTTAGCCCATTTAAATGATAAAAAATGATAGGAACAGACATGACATATATATGATAAGATTTATTAATGTCCAGGCACATCCCACAGAGGCTCACTTCCTGGACATTAACATTAAGATTGAGAGCGCAACTGTCCACACAGAGGTTTATCGCAAACTGACTTCAGCTGATTTATACATACCAGCAAGGTCACGTGACCCTCCACAAAACAAAGTCACAGCGTTCAAAGCCTTGATCAGAAGGGCGCACACACACATTCCTTGTCCCAAACAGCACTCTGGTCCGAAATGAAATGCATAGAGGATATAGCCAAACAGCACGGACACCATGGGCTCATAAATAAACTGAACGCAAAAACGCAGCAGGAAGCAAACCGTCACCAACTCTCCAATGTTACTCCTAGTAGCAACATCCCTATCACATATAATCCGGTTCTAAAATCCATATACAAGGAGATAGCTAAGAAAAGGAATATCCGTATTACATTTAGAAGATGCGCTACGAGTTTTGATTTGTTAAAGAACGGAAAAGACACCCCAGACCGAAATAAGCTCCCCAGCATCTACACTATCCCTATCATTGATCACAGGTGTGATAGAAATATGATCTACATAGGATCAACTAAACGCCCCCTAGTAACCCAGATCAAAGAGCATAAAGCGGATATCAACCATGAAAGAACCAACACAGCTCTTGCTGTATACTCGTCAGATCCTGACATAGAACCCATATTCTCTCAAGCGAAGGTCATTCACACCACCCACCATACAAACCAACTCAGATGGCTGGAGGTGATCTACATATGCCTAAACATGAGTGAAGGACGTAATTGCATTAACTACAAGGATGAAATCGCTCTATCAATGGCCTGGCAGGCCCTAATAGATAAATCTCTAAGATAGAGTACACCATGCATAATGCACAAGTCCGTAGTGATGTCGTCAGGTTGGGACATCATTCCGGATCGTATTTCGTAACAACTTTGAACCGCATTCCGTTAGGGGATTGTTACCTGAAGAAGAACTGTAATGGTTTGAAAACATTTGTAACTGTTGTAGAGTGTGGTGATACGCGCACCAGTAAAAGGTTTATAGATACGAGTTGGTGTTATAAATTTTATGCTTGATAGTTTTTAGTTCTTTAGTATATGGGTTGTATTAACTATTGTAAATACAGTGCACTGTATATATCAAAAAATCCCTTTGTATTGGTTAACTATCAGTGTTATAATTGTATGTATGCTAAGTTGGTACTATGTTGGTACTATGTGTTTGTAAGCTGATGAAGGGTCCTTGCACCCGAAATGCATCCTTTCCTAAATTTGATGGTGATTATTAAAGACTAATTTTTTTTATAAAAGGTCTGGTCTATTTTTTGGTCAGCCTTGGTATGATAAGCTCTCCAAATTGTTAAAAACTTATTTATTAGGTTATCTAACTCTATCTAAATTAAAGTTGTGGCTAAAAGTGTCGTTTATTATTATTGATAAGTTAGAAATTTTCATAGATGAATTGATCAAGTACATCAAGCTCAGTTCCTAAAATTTATTTTGGACCCTACATTACATTTTTAGTCTGCAGATAGAAAATGTTTTAAAAAATTTATGAGAAATGTTATTGTGCTATAAATTTGTATCTAGAAAACAGCTGACAAATAATGATATCAATATAAGTTTTAACATTTTAGATTATTATCATTTGATTTTTTCAGTTAGAATAGGCTTTTGTTAATAAGACTATTTTATAAATTAAAAATACTTATATTCTTTTAAATATGACACATCTTTCTCAATAAATTTCATTAAACTCAAAAATTGTCTCTACAGCACTTTAAATGACATTATTATTGAATTTTATCTGTTATGTAAATCATACTAAAGTCATTTCAAAGTTTAGATTTAGGTTTGTTATTTATTTACCTTGTTGTGTAGTAATTCTCATAGCTAACGGTATTCTATTTACTCTTGCCATAATTTCTTTCCATGACTTATCTACATCTGAAAATAACTTTGCAGCTACGGGAACATGACGCTGAATATCAGGTGCACTAAATATATTTTCTAAATATATCCAACTTTTCTGGCAATTTAACCATTCTTCCTATAAGAAAAATCATAATCTAAAATAACAAAATTATAATAAAATGTGCATTGAATAAATTTAAATTCTTAAAAGAAAATATAATAAGTGATTTATTATGTATCTCAAGAAACAATACTGCTTATGAAATAAAATGAAATGGGAAAATAGTTTGACTTATCATAAAATTTCACATGTAAATAATTTTATAATTAACAGAAAAAATAAAAAAGAAAATTTAATATACAGAAAATAATAATAAATATATTTTATGTTAGCTTCTTCAACTAGAATCCATACACATAATAAAAACCTTTCATTAAGCATCAAAGGTAAGATCAAAAGTGCTACACTCCACACTGAGCAGACATTAGTCAAGAAGATAGAAAACAGAAATCGGAGCTCTCTCTCTCTCTCTCCAAACAAATATTACATTACTTAAATTTATTTATTTATATTACACATGTTAGGAAATGTGGAAAAACAGTGATATCCACCCCCATTACAATTTACCCAAAACTAACAATAATTAAAAATAAAAAAAAATAACAATGATAAAATAAAAAGACAATAGAAAAATATAAATATACACTTACTTAAACATTTAAAAACATGTAAAAAATTAAATAAAAAGATGTAAACAATAAAGTCTGACAATATTACATGAAAGAAATTAATTATACATTGTAAGGGTTGTAAAAGTGCATCAAAATTTTGATGTCACTTTTACAACCCTTACAATCCTAAGTCAGAGAGATTCAGAGGTCAAATCGGGTCAAGGGAGTATGTTGGTGACAAAACCCAGACAGGAAGAAAACTTTCTTACTTATTGTAAAACAAACGCAACACGATGATAAACGGCAGAGGGGAATGTCAACAGAGAGAGAGAGAGCTTTGTCAAGATGCTCGCAAACAAGTGTTGGGTCTAAACAATCAAGAAAAATGGGTTAATGACCAAAAGGACATCTGTTAAGTCATGTTAGCCCGAACCCGTTGGGAGGTAAATGGCCACCATAACATCTGGTAGATCGTTTAGATTCAAAAACATCAGGAAAAGGGCCATAACAGAGTAAAATACAAGTGCAGATTTCAAAGGCTACGTTGACACCTCTCGGACCTTTCCCGATCCAGATCAGTCTTGGTTTTTGCCTAGAGACAAAAGAATGACCAATCGGGGTAAGAGAAAGAGTGAACAGGACCAATCGAAAGGGTGAGATTTGGGGGAAAATCCTATAAAAAACCACCGGGTCTCAAGGTCAAGCGGCAGTTCTCCTCCAGACAAGTGTTTCCACCAGTGGCCCAAGATCTCCATCCATCTGCAGCATCACCCATCAGAGTCACCTCCTTTGCAATGGACACTCCTCTATCAAGGACCCAGGACACACAACTTCAGACACCAGCCTTCACCCATCCACTGACATCGGGAGTTCCCAGCAAAAAACAATCTAGATCGAATTTTCTGTGCCATTATTATGTAAGTTAATTTTATGACAAAAATAAATGGTTTTGTAAGACACTTGTCATCTTTGCCTCTGCCACCGCCACCCACATACGATTCGCCCCTAGGTTTTCCTGACGCACAATTAACTTATTGCCCCTAAAAGTTGGCAACCTTACACATTATATAAAAAACATTGACAAATGTATTTATACTTTGTAAAATCAAAATGAAGATAATTTTCAACTGGGTTCTAAAAAACCACTCAAAATTTACACTGATTCAAATTAACACAATAATTCATTGATTTGTATATAATACGATTATTCCCAAACACAATCCAATCAGCAAAAGGTAGAAATTAGTCATAGTGCTGTACCTCCCTTAAATCTATGTTTGTTTCATGCAATTTTGGAAAAAATATAATATCATGGATACCATAGAAAATATTGACTTGGCTTGGCAAGAATTAACTGATAAATGCATGAACGGAGGGAGCGTGGAATACGTTATGGCTGAAGGTATCCAAGAATTCTCATCGAGAAGAGCCTTTCAATGTATTGTTAGGTTGACAAAATTGTCAACTTAATTAATACAAGAGATGTAGATGAACAGGATATTGGGGAGTTACTGCAGGTTTCTACTAGAGCCTTACCAATGATGACTTCAAAAACTGACAGAACAAGGAATTCGTGTAGAACTTAAAAATAGAGGTACTGAAAACAAGGAACCCAAAGAACTTGCTACAGATTTCTTTAGTAAAAGTTTGGTAATGATAACCAAAATCGTTGATCAAATTGTAGTGAATGATCCTGACTTTGAAAGGGGTGCAAAAGCAAAACAAGGTGTTTTGGATGTGATCATCCGCTACTGACATTTGTTTATGGAAAGAAAAAAAAAGCGACAAATGAAACTACACGACTTTATCACAAAAAACAAGAATTTCAAAAAAGCCAGGACCTTCATCACAAAAAAATGAACTTTACATTTCTGTGTGCATATGTTTATGTGTTATTTAACATATATTATTATGCAAATTAATATAAAAATAACTTAAAATTACAGTAAAATTTGTTAATTTTTGGTCACTTGTTCCCCTTTCCCTATTTACTCTGTTAAAATGATCTTGTTTAATGCTGTTTCACTTAGTGCGTTTTGTCGTATAGGAATGCATCCCCCGCGTTAAGTAGGATCTTACTGTGCCATTACTACGACAAAGTTTTAAACGTCACATAAGAAAATGACCAAATTTAATTGAAATTTGTCATACTGAGATTATGAATAATAAGAGATAGGTAGAAATATAAATCAAAATACAAATACTTTATTAAAAGTTAAATTATAAAGATGAATCAATGGAGGCATTGGAAATAAAAACTTCTGTAAAAATAAAATTGCTATGCATATTAACTACAAAATAAATTTTCAGTAATATTTATGTGAAAATTTTGTAATCTTCAAAAAAATAAATAAATAAATAAATGAATCAATAACTGAATTTTGCTATAATCATTTAGAGTTAAAAATACTTAAATTTTATAATTTAAAATCAGAAAATGTTAAAAACTTTTAAGAAGTTGCTTTTTATTGTAATTAAGCATTTTTCAAGATAATTCATGTCTTATCTTCAGATCCACACTAAAAAGTTCAAAGAATAAAACACATTAAATGATAATTTTGAATTTTATTCACACAAAAAGACACATTAATAAATTTAAAAATTTGTGTTAACTATGTAAAATAAATTAACATACATACTAATTAACTATTTAATATATTCTGATCTTCAAACTTTTGCCTGTATCTGAAAATGAGATAAGAATTAGCTAGAAAAACATTTTATTGCAATAAAAAGTGACCCTTTAAGGTTTATTAGCATTTTCTGTTTTTTAATTTATCTATTGAGTTATTGTTATTGTGCATGTGATCAATAGCACATCATATATGATGAACAAAATATGTGTAAGTGTAAATTTTTAATCATATTCTTAGATTCTCATTATATTTAATTGTTTAAAAAGTTTAATTTACCAATGTTTCAGCAAATAATTCTAGACGTCTACTCCATTCTTCTACTTCACTCTTAATGGGAGTAACGTGTTTAGATGCCTGAATTGTTGCTATAGTCATTATTGAATCTTCTAATAAAGCTTGTATGTCATCAGTTCCTCCCAAAATATACACATCCTTGCCAGATTTATATGGTAAGACAACATATTCTGTTCTCTCCCATGCATCTTTAACCTTTAAAATGAACAATAAAGATTGAAATTATTATAGTAATTAATAATGCAATTTTAAAACAATTATTAATTAATTTTATTATTGCTTAATATTTTCTGTTTGATATTCAGTTAAAAATCATGTTTAATGTATAATTTTAATTATCCTATAAAAATGATGGCTTCTGTCACAGCCTGTGTCTCATAGATGTGAAGCAATAGCTTCACATCTATGACTAGAAAGATAGTGTGCTATTATCCAATTTCTTTCTTCTAAAACAAACATCTGTAACAGAAATTTATTGACAATTCATTGAAGTATACAGAAAGTGTTACAAATTGCCATGTTGCAAATAGTTTGAAAGATTTGAGGAAGGGCTAATTAATGTTTACAATGAAGATCAAATTGGAAGACTAAGGACATTGAAATTGAAAGTCAATGCTATAAGAATTGATCAGCTTATTTCTGAAAGTAGACAAGTGACTTTGCATTATCTTGCTACTGTGTTGGACATCAGGAGGTAACATATGCCACTGTTCACAATAAGATGCACCATCAAAACGTTTTTTGCTTACTAAATACCAAGATAGCTTATGAATAATTTGAAAACACACCAAACAGACAATGTCAGAAAAAAGTGAAGTAAAAGGAATAAACTGCTTTAACTGCTCAATTACAGACAACAAAGCCTGAATGAATCTAAATATACCAATTAACCTCAGAAATGAAGAAAGCATTTATGGAATAGAAGCATACTAACTATACCAGATCTATAGTCATCATGATTTGAGATTCCCACAATGAGCTGTTACTGGAGTTCATGAAACATGGCACATAATAAGTGATTCATTAATACTGTACTACACTTCAATGTTTTTGATAGACCATTTACAGTAAGAAACTTGCACATCTTTCAAAAAGAGGTATGCTTTTTAACAACAACATAAGGTTTCTTACAGCTCTATAGACAAACACTTGTTGCTGAAATTTGAATGAAAATGTGTGAATCATCTACCATATGGCCATATGGTAGATGATTCACATATTTTCATCCAAATTTCAGCAACAGACCTGTCACCAAGTGGTTTCATGCATTTGAACCTAAACATTTGGCTATTGGTGATTCCAGAGTGATGGAAGTCCAAGCAACTATGAGCAGTGGTGGATTTCTGCACAGGCACACGAGGTGCATGTCTAGGGTCACAAAATTCAGCTCTCAAAATAAAAAATTATTTAGTTTAATTCTTATTTTTTCATAATAAAGGTAATTAATAATTTAGCAGTATTCCCTAAATTAAATTGACAAATGAATAATGCCAGCTATGACATGTTTTGCAGGTGGTAATCAGTAGTAAATTTTAAAATAAATTATTTTTTTTATATCCATTGATTACTAGATTTTTTTTGTTTTTAACACTTTTACTTATTGAAACTTAGTAATTCTTGTACCAATAATTTTCAATTTTTATAATTAATACAATCTGAACATCAGAAACCTTCTAAATACAGCCAGGCTGTTGTAATTTTATATTGGTTAATTTTCAATGTTATTTCCCTATATCTTACTTTTCTTGGACCACTGGTATAGTGCCTACCAGAGAAAAACTTGCACATAGAATGCACAATGTAGGGTGCAGGGGTAGTGAAAATATTTAGAGGGTGGCCTCAAAATTGAATTGTGCCTGGGGCCTCTCAAGTGCTAAATCCGACTATGAGAGAATGATTCTGATTGCAAAGCTCCACATTTTTTACACAGGAGCATAAAATAATTGGTGTCACATTATCAAGTGCTTGAATCATTTAGAAGATGGAGAAAAATAGACTTTTATTTTGCTATCTGTTTGAATAAAAAGCCAAATGATCACTGTATTGAACTGACTACTATTTATAGATGTATAAGTTTGAATAAAATGTATGTAAGCAAAGTGTAACTTGCAATTGATCTTTACTTTCCAATCAACTCATATAAATAAGTATTGCTATTACACTGGTTTAGTTTTCTATTAGCAAATAGAGAAGCTCTTAGTCAAAAAGTCAAAACCAAATATCTTTATTTTCACCTAAAAATCAAAACATTGAACAATAAAACTGAAAACATTTATTTATAACATTATTATTTAATTAAATTATGTTATATACTCATAACATTATAGGCAATTTTCTTTGCTTTTTTGTGATAAATTTGATTTTTTGTGAATTATACTACAAGTTCTCATATATTTTATTGTCTAACTGAAATTTTAATTATCACTACCCTATTCTACATTCATTTAATGTTATGGTTAGATTCTTAGCAATAACAGATATATCAATTTTTCAGCATTTATCAGAAAATCCAATATGTATTTTACAGAACATCTTTTACAATGTTATCAGAGACTCATAGAACAATGAAGTATATTTTTACCACTTATATATGAACCTAAAGGAATTGCAAAAATGTAAATAACTATAAATAAAAGAGCTGGAGAATATATTGTTTTTTTAGTTCAGGAAAACTTCTAATAAGGTTTTTAAAAATTAGTAGAGCTCTGATATTAAATCTATAATATACATTGTTTTACTCATTTAAATATGTGTTTATATTATATTTATATTATTCTAAAATAATAATCAAAACATCTATAGGAATTTAAGTAGCATAAAAAGTAATAAAATGCAAAAATTGACAGTATTGTTGTGAATGTTAAAAGGAACAATAAAGATTGAAATTATTATAGTAATTAATAATGCAATTTTAAAACAATTATTAATTAATTTTATTATTGCTTAATATTTTCTGTTTGATATTCAGTTAAAAATCATGTTTAATGTATAATTTTAATTATCCTATAAAAATGATGGCTTCTGTCACAGCCTGTGTCTCATAGATGTGAAGCAATAGCTTCACATCTATGACTAGAAAGATAGTGTGCTATTATCCAATTTCTTTCTTCTAAAACAAACATCTGTAACAGAAATTTATTGACAATTCATTGAAGTATACAGAAAGTGTTACAAATTGCCATGTTGCAAATAGTTTGAAAGATTTGAGGAAGGGCTAATTAATGTTTACAATGAAGATCAAATTGGAAGACTAAGGACATTGAAATTGAAAGTCAATGCTATAAGAATTGATCAGCTTATTTCTGAAAGTAGACAAGTGACTTTGCATTATCTTGCTACTGTGTTGGACATCAGGAGGTAACATATGCCACTGTTCACAATAAGATGCACCATCAAAACGTTTTTTGCTTACTAAATACCAAGATAGCTTATGAATAATTTGAAAACACACCAAACAGACAATGTCAGAAAAAAGTGAAGTAAAAGGAATAAACTGCTTTAACTGCTCAATTACAGACAACAAAGCCTGAATGAATCTAAATATACCAATTAACCTCAGAAATGAAGAAAGCATTTATGGAATAGAAGCATACTAACTATACCAGATCTATAGTCATCATGATTTGAGATTCCCACAATGAGCTGTTACTGGAGTTCATGAAACATGGCACATAATAAGTGATTCATTAATACTGTACTACACTTCAATGTTTTTGATAGACCATTTACAGTAAGAAACTTGCACATCTTTCAAAAAGAGGTATGCTTTTTAACAACAACATAAGGTTTCTTACAGCTCTATAGACAAACACTTGTTGCTGAAATTTGAATGAAAATGTGTGAATCATCTACCATATGGCCATATGGTAGATGATTCACATATTTTCATCCAAATTTCAGCAACAGACCTGTCACCAAGTGGTTTCATGCATTTGAACCTAAACATTTGGCTATTGGTGATTCCAGAGTGATGGAAGTCCAAGCAACTATGAGCAGTGGTGGATTTCTGCACAGGCACACGAGGTGCATGTCTAGGGTCACAAAATTCAGCTCTCAAAATAAAAAATTATTTAGTTTAATTCTTATTTTTTCATAATAAAGGTAATTAATAATTTAGCAGTATTCCCTAAATTAAATTGACAAATGAATAATGCCAGCTATGACATGTTTTGCAGGTGGTAATCAGTAGTAAATTTTAAAATAAATTATTTTTTTTATATCCATTGATTACTAGATTTTTTTTGTTTTTAACACTTTTACTTATTGAAACTTAGTAATTCTTGTACCAATAATTTTCAATTTTTATAATTAATACAATCTGAACATCAGAAACCTTCTAAATACAGCCAGGCTGTTGTAATTTTATATTGGTTAATTTTCAATGTTATTTCCCTATATCTTACTTTTCTTGGACCACTGGTATAGTGCCTACCAGAGAAAAACTTGCACATAGAATGCACAATGTAGGGTGCAGGGGTAGTGAAAATATTTAGAGGGTGGCCTCAAAATTGAATTGTGCCTGGGGCCTCTCAAGTGCTAAATCCGACTATGAGAGAATGATTCTGATTGCAAAGCTCCACATTTTTTACACAGGAGCATAAAATAATTGGTGTCACATTATCAAGTGCTTGAATCATTTAGAAGATGGAGAAAAATAGACTTTTATTTTGCTATCTGTTTGAATAAAAAGCCAAATGATCACTGTATTGAACTGACTACTATTTATAGATGTATAAGTTTGAATAAAATGTATGTAAGCAAAGTGTAACTTGCAATTGATCTTTACTTTCCAATCAACTCATATAAATAAGTATTGCTATTACACTGGTTTAGTTTTCTATTAGCAAATAGAGAAGCTCTTAGTCAAAAAGTCAAAACCAAATATCTTTATTTTCACCTAAAAATCAAAACATTGAACAATAAAACTGAAAACATTTATTTATAACATTATTATTTAATTAAATTATGTTATATACTCATAACATTATAGGCAATTTTCTTTGCTTTTTTGTGATAAATTTGATTTTTTGTGAATTATACTACAAGTTCTCATATATTTTATTGTCTAACTGAAATTTTAATTATCACTACCCTATTCTACATTCATTTAATGTTATGGTTAGATTCTTAGCAATAACAGATATATCAATTTTTCAGCATTTATCAGAAAATCCAATATGTATTTTACAGAACATCTTTTACAATGTTATCAGAGACTCATAGAACAATGAAGTATATTTTTACCACTTATATATGAACCTAAAGGAATTGCAAAAATGTAAATAACTATAAATAAAAGAGCTGGAGAATATATTGTTTTTTTAGTTCAGGAAAACTTCTAATAAGGTTTTTAAAAATTAGTAGAGCTCTGATATTAAATCTATAATATACATTGTTTTACTCATTTAAATATGTGTTTATATTATATTTATATTATTCTAAAATAATAATCAAAACATCTATAGGAATTTAAGTAGCATAAAAAGTAATAAAATGCAAAAATTGACAGTATTGTTGTGAATGTTAAATGATTCACTGATTAAAAAATATACAAAGAAATTAATAATTTCAAATGATGATATTAGAATGAAATAAAGTTTCAATATTTAATAAAATTTTGATTTATAAATTATAAATTAAATGAAAACAAAATGATTAAATATATAATTTTTAATATATACGAAATACTTTTGAATTGTAATAAAATGAAATTTAGTGATATAATAAGGAAAAAATTAAACAGATTATAAAGTAAAACTACTATAAACTTTTAAATACTGTATTATTTTACTTAATATAATATTTTCAAAAATTATCATTACTGTATATATTTACCTTTTTTAGTAATGTCTTTAGACTTGCTTCAGCTGTTGCTTGTTCAGAAATCTTTCGAATTTCATCAGCATAATCATATACAGAAATTTTCTCTAAATTCTCTATTGTAATTATTTGTTTTTCATCAAATGGTTGTTGAAGTGCATTGTAAATCAATTGCCAATGATATTCTTCCATCGTTGGATTTAACAAACATAAAATAACTGGAAGCTAATTAAATAAAATAAAAAGTTTACAAGTAATTCATATACAAATTTGTTATACTCTGTAATATTTCTTTATATCAAGTTTCAGTTATTAACTATTTTATTGTATTAAAACAAACAGATATCTTCACTTTAACGACTTATAATTATTTTGTTTTATTAATTTATTCAATTTTCTTTATTATGTTGATGGTGATGATTCTTTGATCTGAGATTCTTGATTTGAGATTGAGATTAGGACCTTGAGGGTTTGGATTTGGATCATTCTGGACTGGTCTGGATCAAGAAAGTTCTTCTTCTAGGCACAGTTGAGGTAATGTAAAAATCTGACAAAGTACGATTGGCACTGACACAGGAAAATTTTGATGACTTTAATTAATTCAAGAGTGACTGGTAATGACTGCCTAAACTTGCAGTTCCTGGCTATATTGACTTGGAGAAATTGAGATAGTAGGTCAGGAGGTTATGAGAAAGTATCGCTTTCACTGCTTAGAACTTAACAAATGATTTACTCCCAGGTGTGAAAGTTGATGTTATGACTTTAAATTGTTTACATTGAAGTCTGATTTCTCACAATAGTATGTCTCATTGTATTGTGGCCTGTATAGCTGCCTGTGGAAACCATATTCGTTATTGAACAAACAGGTGTCTGTTGCATATAATATGATTGTTTGTTCTTTTAATCATTTGCATATGTCCCTCTCCTCTATCAGTCTTGAGATGTACTTGTAGCTACATGCACTCCTTCATGATGTTGCAATTTCACTTTTGAAAAGTGTAGCTCTTTACTCAAGCAGTAAGACTAGCTCTGCTAACAATGGAGGTCTACCACAGATATAGGTTGAAGTGAAAGATTTAACAGAGAAGGCAAGAAAAGAATAGGACAAAGAAGAAAGAATGAAAAACATCCTAAAGAACCTAACTAAAATATGGCATACATGGCCACAAGGGGACTCATGTTAATGAAGTATTCTGCTAAAAGTTTAATTAACATAAAAAATGCATTAAGAAAATTTAAGATGGTCTCAAGCTAAGTTTCAGGATAGATTTTAAAAATAAGCCAAGATTAACGTCTTCTCTTTATCACAAGCTTAATGGCTTTAATACACGAAGACAAAAGTTGTTTTACCAGTTTATTATTTAAAGAAAAAGAATGATTACACTAAATAATAATAGTTTTCCAATGAATTTTTAGTCTTTTTCCTCCTTTTTTCAATGAACTTCACAGCTACCATACTGTCCACATACTTGTAGATGAATGTACACAATGTGTTAACTACATAAAAATTCACAGAAAAAATATTTCAGGTAAAAGTTTATTCATTTTTTTTTTATAGAATCATAATATGCAATAAAAAATGCAGGTTATAAGTTAAGAAAATAAGTTGATTCTGTTTTTCTGTAATTCTGTTTTTATCAGCTGTAGTGCAATCTATGATGAAACCAATAATGTCATCTTGCGGCACCCTTGAAGTCTAACATGTTTGGTTTAATAAATTTTTTTCAAGATGTATATTTTTTTAGTTATTTCAATGGACTGATTAAAATAAACCATATGTATACATCAAATGAAATGAAAACAAAAAATTAAGCTACTGTATGTAAGAAAATTTTTTATTTTAATTTTGAGACATTAAAAGAAATGTTCTAACTTTTGAGCTTTAACACAAGGTTTTCTAGGATAATGTTTTTGCCAAAGTGATAATTTGCCTTTAGGAATAAAAAAAATTATTTCTTTGTAGGAATTATTATTTGTAGGAAAATTATTTCTTTGTAGGAAAATTATTTCTTTTGAGCAATTATTATGCAATTTAATGTTAATAATAACTCACAAATATAATAATAAATTAATATAATATAAAGGAGAAAAAACTAAAAGAAAAAATTTCACTTAACAAAATCATCAACACAAAAAGATTTGCAGCCCCCATTTAGACACCCCCTAATAAAAATATCATTTGAAATCATCTACTATTAGCAAATTACTTCAAATAATATGAGTTGATGCCAATTGGTAGAAAATGACATTAAATGATAATAATTAGCAATTAATTTGCAATCATTTACTTTGTAGATGAGAATATTAAATAATATCAACTGTTATCAAATTATTTTGTAATGTAATCACATTTTTAAATTCTAAATACATGATATCAATTGATGTTAACTGACATCATTTAGTGAGTGACATTAAATGGCATCAAATGATACCAATTAATATCATATGGTACCATTTGGCAAATGTTCTGTTTATCATTAATAGTGTATTGTTCAATTTTATATTACTTCAAATTTCAAATATATCAAATCAATTTACAAGTTTTTATCTAGTTTTTAATATACCATTTAATATACATTAGTCACTTAAAATTGTTTTGACAATAACTGATATCAATTAGTCAGATGAAACTGATCAAAAAACCATTTCATGAATAATAGCAATTAATATTATTTCATAATTACTAGGGCAAATGTAAGGTCCTAGACATGGTCTGAACACTAACCAAAAGTCACTTCTCAAAACAAAGAATTTTTATTGTAAAAATATTTCCTTTTAATAATTTGTTTGCCATCAGAATTTCGAATGACTGGCATTTGGGTTAATAATGTTAAAGTATACAATTCTTAATTTAAAAAATGTCAGTTCCAAGATCAGTAAACATTTCCAGTTAGGATCAGAAATTGGCATCAAATTAAACATTGGCATTGACCTTTCCGAAGGCCTGAGTTGATCTTGAATCACCTCTGAAAACAGATAAGACCTCAAAGTTGAGACTTTTTTCTTTTACTCCTTAAACTTTTCCTTAAAAAGGTTTTACTGTAATTTGTTTACATTTGTGTTTCAACAAATAATACAATTCACTAATAAGTTCTAAAATCATGATCATCAATGAAACTTAAATACAGTGGAACCTCGGTATACGACCTTAATCCGTTCCTGGTGTTTGGACTTATACCGAATAGGATTTATACCGAACCAACCTTTTCCATAAGAAGTAATGTAAAAATGATTAATTCGTTCTCATGTAAAAAAAATGGCTGGCTTTAAACACCTCGCTTTCCGTGCTAGTTTCTGCTTGATTTTTCATGAGATCAGCATGTATCCTTTTAACTTTCTCGCAAATAATTTCTTCCGATACGCTGTCGCCGGCACGCCGTTTTTCATTTATCCAAAGCAAAAGCAATTTCTCGACATGATCTAATGTCTTCGATCTCTGTTTAGAAATTGATTTAACCCCTTTCGCAACGTTAGCAAATTTAATAATGTCTTTATT